CAGCTGTGCAGGATGAGAAGATGGAAGGAGAGAGGGAGGGAGAAAGCTCAATGCCAGTGGAGGAAGACAGTCGTTCGGTCGGATCAGACAGCAGAAAGAGGGTGAGGGAGGCTTTGATGTGTATGTACTTGTTTTCTAGTGTGTTCTGTGGCTGTTAATATCAGTGTGTGTCCATGTGTCAGAGTGCTGTGAGTGTGATCTCAGCTAAGGAGGGGAGGAAGAGCTCTTCAGTCAAGTCGTTAGAGGAAGGAGAAAGTCAGATGGAGGAAATCACAACAGCATTAGAAGCTGGTTTGGACTTTTCGTATTTTACTTCCTGATTTTCCCAATTTCGTTATTCTTTTTCCTTATATTAAACAAAATAAGATGAGGTTGAATTTTTTTTATAACATACTAAAATTTGTGTTTTAGTTAACTATAACAATATGTAGAATACTACCAATAATTTAAATAATTATAAAATGGATTGTTCCATCTCTGAAATCTACTTTGAAGCTCATATAATAGGCAAAATATGCACACCAGTTGAATTATAATAATATCATATTAATGAGCCAAGTCCAATGTGTTTAATATTATCAGATAGGCCAATCATTTGGCAGAACAATTATTTATTGTGGCTATTATTATTAATTTTAATTAACGCTGGCATTTTAATCTGCTGCCACGATTTTATAAAATCAATACACCGCTGAAGGATCACAGCACTTTACATTATGCTCCTGAACTGTGGTAAATTTACTTTAACATACAGCCTCTCTTGTTTTATTGCTTTAATAAGACTTTCAATTCAAAACCAATAACCGCACACATTTAACTATACAAACTGAGATCTGTATTAATATGAACATATTATAGTTGATATGTTGCTTGGCATAATGTAGGCATCACATTATAACACATCATATGAAAGTATGAAAGACAGGTTTCCATTTTAAAATCTGCTAAAGATGAATAACTAATTCATTTTTAGTAATTTTAGTACAACTTAATTTTCAGTTAGTTGCAAAGGCAATATTTATTTATTTATTTTTAATAGTTTTCGGTAATAATAGCAACACTGCCCAATATTGATTAAATAAAAAAATATACAGGTGCATTTTATAAAAATTTGAATATCGTGAAAAAGTTAACTTATTTCAAAAAGTGAAACTTTCATATATTCTAGATTCATTACGTGTAAAATAAAACATTTTAAACGTTTTTGTTTTAATTTTGATGATTAGAGCTTACAGCTCATGAAAGTCAAAAACCCAGTATCTCAAAATATTAGAATATTTACATTTGAGTTTCATTAAATGACCATCCCTACAGTTTTAACTCTAGGTAAAAAGCCGATTCAAACACTTTGGAGAGCTTCACAAGGAGTGGACTGAAGCTGGAGTCACCACGCTCAGGCGTCTTCGGGAAAATGGCTACCAAACCACTTCTGAAACAGAAACAACGTCAGAAGCATCTTACCTGGGCTAAGGAGAAAAAGAACTGGACTGTTGCTCAGTGGTCCAGATAAAAGTAAATTTTGCGTTTCATTTGGAAATCAAGGTCTGGAGTCTGGAGGAAGAACCTGACCTGACCTGAACCCCATATGGAATCGATGGGATATTTTCAAGAGAAAGATGAGAAACAGTCGATCCAACAATACAGACGAGCTGAAGGCTCAATAGTGCCTCAGCAGTTCCACAGGCTGATCTCTTCCATGCCACACCTCACTGATCCTGGAATTTGTGCTAAAAGAGCCCCGGCCAAGTATTGAATGCGTAAATTAACAATTTAAAGAACTTGAACTTTTCTGTTTTGCAAATCCTTTTTTTGTTTTGATTGATATTAGGAAATATTCAAATATCTTGAGATACTGGATTTTTGACTTTCATGAGCTGTAAGCTCTAATCATCAAAATTATAACAAAAAAACACCTATAATGACTATCAAGTGATATATTATGCATCACTGGTAGTATCACTGTAATTGCTAGCTTCTGATAACTTAACTTGTCTCTAGATCAAAATGGTTCCGACTCATCACCAGCTGAACCTGTGATTGACAGTGCTGACGTACATATAGTGGACCTGCAGCAGTTCACACCATTGGGTGGAGTCTTCTACTTTGATGTGTTCCATCTACCGCCTCAGTCTCACATAGTGAAGGGCTGGGAAATGAGAGAGGTACATCTTTGGATGTAATTTGGGACAGTCTGCAAGAGATCAAAGAGAATAATGTGCATTAATTGTCATTTACTGTTGTGCCTCATCATAGCTGTTAGAAACCGGTCTCCAGGTCTTCCCCTATTCCACTGAGCAGTCTCGCCCTCAGAGCTCTACCTCAGTGAGGCTGGATGAACACAGCAGCACTGTTGCCTCATTGCCTGTAGGGGTCACTGTAGCTCTGCCTGACTCAATTTTGTTTCTGGAGGATCCACATGTGGCACGTTGGGATCCTATCGGTGAACAATTCACAATTCACACCACACATATGTAGCATCAGATTGTGTATTGTATATACAGCCTCTACTTTAAAGTCTCCGTTATTTTCATAACTTAGTGCATGCCTGTTTTTTGCACACCTGTTTTTGCAGGTCAGCACTGGCGGGCAGACTGCATTTCTGAGGCATCCTATGACGCAGAGACCCGCAGCATCTCCTTTAAGATGAATGCATTCTATGCCTTCACATTACTGCAGGAGTCATACACTAACATGCCTTTCCAGTCATGGGAGCTGAGGCCTCTGGGCCAAGACTCAGCTTTGTTCACAATCACTGGAGCTCTTATTGAAGTCAGCATCACTGTCAAGGCAAGAGAGGCCCTGTCCAAAAATACACATCTGAAAAATCTTTTAAATATCTACTTTAAAACATAGAAAATGTATAACTTTTCTGTATTCATGTTGGTTTCATATAATGATTTTGAAAACTATTTTATACACGTATACACAATTTTTTAAGGTAAGTAACAAATATAATGAATTACTTAATGATTATCAGAAATTTCACACCATATGACATTTTACAAAATAAAAGTTGGTAACACTTTAGTATTGGGACCAATTCTTACAATTAACTAGTTGCTTATTAGCATGCCTATTATTAATGTATTGGCTGTTTATTAGTACTTATAAAGCACATATTCTGCATGATCATATTCTACATCCCTAATCCTACCCAATACTTAAAATTAACAACTACCTTACTATTAATAAGCAACAAATTAGGAGTTTGAGGCAAAAGTCTCTGTTAATGGTTTGTTAATAGCGAGAATTGGACCTTAAAATAAAGTGTGACCAAAAAGTTAATATATCAGACTAGATGCACTCAAATTATTGCATGCTTGAACTGCATTTTTAATAGATTTCTGAATACACTAATGGATCCAAAAAAAGCGTCCTGTCATTGAGCAATTTCATTTAACTAAGACCAACAGTATGGCATCAATTCAAGGCCAGGCTGTTTTCCATACATGTCGAAGGCTACAAAAAATGGTTTTCTCTCTGTGTGCATCACCAGTACTGATCGATAGCGTTTTGTTTCTCAGGGTAAGCAATGTATGCTGCACATGGAGGAAAGAAAGAACCTAGATCATCTTCTAGGGAAGTGGATGAGCCCCTCAGATCTGCAGAAGGCCATGCGGAGAGCTGGAATCAATATATTTGTGAATGAGTATTCAGACAAGTATGTCAGCATCAACCCAAAGGTAACCAAGGGGCTGAATTGCCTTTCACTCTCAAAAACATTTTCTGTATTTGCATAGATGGTTCCATGAACTTTTAATGTGAAGTACCGGTCCGTAAACTGTCTATTGCACAAAGGGTTCTTCATTGTGGCAAAAGGTCGATGTGGAACCTTCCTTTTGGACCCTTATTTGAGAGTGTAGGGTTTAAAATTTTTTAAATAGACCAGTTATACAAATCCATGATGTAACTATTTTTATCCATGTTCTTTCCACTTCTAGGACCCATTAATAGAGCACACAGTGTATGAACAAATGGCTCTAATGTCCTCAGCCGTGGCTTTTTCCTGGAGCCGCTGGAACACACAATGCGGACAAGAGCACCTTGTTCTTCAGGTGTGTCATACACTCAGACTGACTGAAGCACTATTGAACTACTGTATACAAAGCAGTACCTCTGACCTTTATCTTTTTGACTCTGTAGGCCTGTGAACAGTTGGAGGCCGGGCCTGTGGCTGAGGAGGCATGGTCTCTTTACCTGCTGGGTGCTCAGAGGAACCAGCATCTGAAGATGAAGGAACATGACGACAGCTTCTCTCCTGAGCTGGCCGAGGGCAGCGAGTTCCACTCCACCTTTCTGCACATGCTCAGACAGGACATGAGCACCGAGGGCCAAGCCAGAGTCCGTCAGTCTCACTATCTCTACACAGACACTGTACAGAGGCTCCTGTGTGCAACACGTGTCCTCACATATTCCTGAGAAGAGAAAGCACATGCATCCAGAAAGACTACATGCATACACACTAATATCTAAAACATTTGATACCCGTTTTGAACCGTCATTGCTACATCTTGATGATATGCTGATATGTAATAACACACTGTAAAATTATTTATAAGCAGGTGGACCCAAATAATACTATTGAATGATTATTTATAACATAAGCAATAAATATAAATATATACACAGTAGATAGATACCACCACAAAAGAAATGAGAGCATGTGCACTAAATCTTTCATGGAGAAATTGTTCCTAAATGCCAGAATATTACAGACACACACAAGTGTATTTAATTCAAAAAAAAAAACGTGGATGTTATTATAAATTCTATTAATAATAAATTACAAAAATACAAAAACTTTTTTTTTTGTAGCTGAAATATGACTCAGACATGTTTTGGTGAGATTCTCCTTGATTTATAAATTGTTATACTCATGTCGAATTTGTTGCTACTTGGCAATGGTTCATTTACTTCATTTTATACCACCAGCTTTGGTTGAACAACTAAAATAAAAACACACCGAAGCATGAGTATTAAACACACATACTGACTGAAGCTGTATGAGTTGATCCATGAGTTGGATCAGTTTCTTTTATTGTGCAAAGTTTCTCTCCCCCTCTTTGGAACATACAAAAGTGTATGAACTTCTTACAATGAACACCACACCAACAGCTTTATGAGGATAAAAACCATGTGTTTGTAACAATTAATAATATCTACTGCATAAAACTGTAAAATACAGACCTTAAAAAGGTCTCATTGCAATACTCTTTCAAACTGCCCATAAAAATACACTAATCAATTTCAAAATGTTTAAAAAAAGGCAGCCTTTTTGGGCAACCGGTATATGATGTTTGACATTCACACTGTTGCAGTGTGCTCATCTCACTCCAATCCAAATATCCACCGTGTGATTGGCTGCCACTGACTCTCATAAAAAGTGCTTATTACATACGTGGCCAACCCGACGGTTTGTGCACACAGCATCCAAGCAGTCTGCAGTTTTCAGCACATCTCTCTCGAGACACCCACATTTCTTTTTACCTTCGGTAAGAAATAGTCACAAAGTGTTCTGTTAGAAGGACAGGCAGCAGTGTTGCATCACAGCTCTTGTAGCCGGAGTTTTTTCTGAATGTCAGAACCTGCCACTGCAGCCTTGCCGACCCCCTGGTGTCACACAGGGGGCTGGCCGTTGTGCCTCAGCCCAGTATAGGGCCACAGAAGCTGCTGGATGGTCATCCAGGAGTCCCCGGTGCCCACAGGTGCTGCATCTACTGCAGGCTGTAACATCAGGCTCGCCAGCAGGGCCAGTAGAACAGCTAGAACTACAAGCAAGGCCACCCAAATCCAAATGCCCCTGGTGCCTCTGGAAACTGCAGGCCTCCCATCCGTCAGACTGGGTGGAGTGTGATCTGTTGGGCTGGGGCTGGGACTGGGATAGAAAGTGAAAGAAATGTTTAAAAAGAAAAGTACAAGCATACCTTCAGCAGCAGGAAGCAAGGTGTTCTGTTATGCTAAATAGGGAAGGAGCAAGTAAAATGTTCATGTTATTGTAATGAGCTGCAGATGAACCCTCTATATATCCTTAGCCCAGAAACATACTCTGTACAAGCAAGCAAACGCAACAGTGTGGTTTCATTGTACATATTTAACATGCATTCCTTTGGAATCAATAACATACAAAATCAAGCTTGCATAGCCAGAAGCACTGGCATACTTGTGTGTAGAATATGTTCTGGGCCATATTTTCATTAGAAAATAGCAGGTTATAAAAAGCACTTTTAAAAAAAATAAATAAATAAAAATCAGTCTGAATAGGCGAGACGGCTGAGGCGACCTGAAGAGAAAACATTGAACATTTAGAGGAATGTGAAAAATGACAGCTGTTGCTAAAAGCAATGTTTGACAAAGTACATAATAAACAAGACAAACAGGAGGTCTGTGATAGACTGATATATATTGGTCAGGCAGAGTAGTTGGCCAATATATGACCATTTTAAGGTCTGCCAATAACTGATTGGCCGATTAACAGAAGCAGCCATTCTGCCCATTTTATTGCCTTTCATTTTTTTAAATTACATGCACACCACCACCATTCAAAAGCATGGAGTCTGTAAGATTATGTTTTTAAAAAAAGTCTTATGCTCTCCTAGGCTACATTTATTTGATTTATAAAATACAGTATTATTGTAAAATATTATTACAACTTTAAGCATTTTTTTTATTTGAATACATTTTAAAATGTAATTTATTCCTGTCTTTGGTGTCACAAAATCCTCTACAAACCATTCTAATATGCTGATTTGACACAATAAGAAACATTTCTTATTATTACCAATATTAAAATCAGTTCTGCTGGAAACCTTGAAACATTATTTTTTCCGTATTCTTCGAAGGAAAAGTCCAAAAGAACAGCATTTATTTGAAGTAATAAATGTTTTACTGTCGTTTTTGTTTAATGCATCCTTGCTGAATAATGAAAAAGAAAAAATCAATTTATTGTTTAAACAGTAGTATATATCTCCATCCTGCTCTCTAATTATCAGTCTACCACTTAACCAGTTTAAGAAAATCCCACAGAGAACATCAGAATAGCACACAACTGTGGGATCAGAGTACATTGCCAAATGCCCAAATTGTCCACCAATGTGGGGAAAAATAGATAATTAAAAAACAGAACTTTGTCTTCTCTCTGAAACCACAGATGGGCTGCTTAGCTTATTTGTGGCAAACCGAAGCAGAAGACATGTAGTGTGTCAGCACTGGTTTCATTTTTCCACTGAAGAAAAAAAATCAAAGCTGATGAACTTTGTGGGTGTCCATGTCCAAACAGAACATTAATTAAAGTTAGATTTTCTTAGCTTAGCTGCAGTAGCAAAAGGCATTATTTACAGAAAACCCTCAATTTTTTGTAGATAATGCCTGAATGCTATAGCAGAGAATAATGGAGGCAGGAGGTACACTAACGTCTTAGTTGGCATTATGAAGGAGGTGATTTTGATGCCTAATTCTGTCATGCTAGTCCTTCTTTCCTCTGGTTCCTCTTTCCGCTCCTCCTCCGAGTGAGAATCTGTGTCATATCCATACCTGTGCAAAGTTCACACTACAATGTTCACCACCTAAGCTCAAGGCCTCTACTGTGGTTCTGCATGACATGACGCTTCGATGGCACATGCGCTCTTTATGGTTTTGGCATTAAATTGGTTCCAAAGATGAAAGGTACACAACAGATCTTCACGCGTGACCTTACCTATTCATCAGAGTGGGCTCGTCAATGTCGGCCCAAGTACCAGAGCTAATGAAGCGCTTTAGTGGTGGCCTCTTGGTTGCCATGTTCCTGTAAAGCGGTCGACACACAACCATGACATCCTTTCTCGCAGGGCAAAGACGTGCACACAGTATTATAAAAACAATTGGCGTGTGACTCCAATAAAGCACAAAGTCATGGGTTCCATTTCCAGAGAACCTACTGATAAGTGTATTATTTGACATTGGTTGAATAAAAGTGTCAGCCAAGTGAATAAATCTTGTTCGGATACATTTTGGGTCACACTAACCCAATTTTTGGTGGACTAATACTGACAGGCAGGGCTGCAGGTGTGTTTTGTGGACCATGCAATCTCAAAACAGCATCATTACACTTACCATGGTGACCGGCGGGAGAGTCTCTCTACCTCAGTTTCCGCCATGTCTTTGGGCTGTGAATTAGAAATCACAGTTTATTCAGTTGCTCCACTTCTTTTCTACCAAATTCACCTCTGTAAGAAGAAAACCGGACTCCTCACCATGTCAAAATGGGTCTGTCCTCCACTGCTGCGGGGAATGGTAGCTATACTGATGCGTCGGCTAGTGGTCTTAGGAGAGAACACATTTTTTTTTTTTAAATCAGTAAATAACTCCGCAAGCTGAATTCACGACCTTGAAGTGGTGCGTTTTGTGCCTTAACTCACTTTGAAAATGTTCGCAGTTGACTGCTTCTTGTTTCTGAAATCATCTGCAATCACAAAAGAAAACCCATGTGATATTACTTTTTTTTTTTAACAAGTATTTTTTTAATAAGAATAATATCAACTTACCCCTCTCAGTGTGGGACCCAAAGGACCTCTCATTCGGCGTGAGGTTCTCTCTGAGCTCCAACAGCTCTGCGTGCTCCTTGGTATACATCCTCCTCAAGTTATCCACATGCTGAATCATCACCTCCACCGTTTTACCCACTCTGGTCTCCTACACATGCAAGGAAATTGAGATGTAAACAAGCAGGCTTCTTTGTTAACTTTGGCTTTAGAGGGCCATTTCAGCACTCTGAAGGGCCTGAGTAAACACACAAACCTGATGAACGGCCCCAAGCATCTCTGAACGGCTGGACACTCTGGTCATGGATTGAATGAGGACTTCCAGGTTCTTTTGCAGACGATGGATGATCTCCATGGACTGGTTATCTTCCTCACATCGTGGAATCAGGGCCTATATAACAAAACACAGTGTTATATTCAAGCTACCTGTTCAAACATACGAATTCAGGTCAAATTTTGGAAGAAATTTTCAGTAAGAATTTTCTGTAAAAATACAATGCCCTGAAAAAAGCACTACTTCCTTGCATTGATAAAATATACAGGATTTTATGTCAGCAGAAAGTGCACAAAATGACACTGACCTGCAGCAGACCTTTACAACTGTTCACTTCCTTCCGGACGTTCTCCTCAGCCAGGTCCCGCGAGCGTTCCTCCAGGCGTAGCCTCTTCTCCAGGGTGAACATGTCACATTTGAAGCCCAGAGAGAGCCGGTGGAACTCCGCCTGGCGGGAGAGCACATGGTAAACACTCCAGAAACATCACTGAGAAAACGGATACACATCTGTAAATATTTCAGCTTAATCACTAGTTCAGAATCTAATTCAGGTCTGTAACATCTTTATACCAATTCTGCAGAATTCTTTGTAATTTACCAATTATGATGAAAATTTATATGCATAACCCTGCCAAATCCTATCAAGACAATCAATTATTATTATTATTATCAAATATAGTTACACTCTATATTGAAATTGGACTGAATGGAGAAAAAAAACCCTCACCTCTATCTCTTTGTCACTTGGCAACAGGCTGCAGATAAAATGCACATTTCAGATTAATGGGTACATGAATATGTCAAGTGAGTCTTGAATCAGATTAAAATTTATGGATATAAATTCAGTACACAAAGCATTATAACCTGTTCTTGTCATCTTTGGTGGAATCGCTGGCATTTTCAGAGATGGCAGATGTGTCACCTGAGGGAGGAAGAGGAGACTGACATCGAGGAAACAAGCAAAACTAGATGAGAAAGAGAGACAGACAGGGAGAGAGAGAGACCGTTTATCTACCTTCTTTTTCTGTGGCCACTGAAGGCTCGCCGTCCTCCTGAGCTTTTTGCTCCTCAATGGCTTCCATACTGCTCATTTCCTGTAGGAAGACCATTTATTTTTAAATGTACTACACAGGTATGTAAACTTCATCAGCGCATTACAATAGTTTACACTGGGCATCAGATGGCATGTTAAGAATGTTTATTAATAAGAACACAATCACCTTATGTAATTAAAAAAAGATTTGGCAAAGCAGGTAGGACCAGATTCTTCGGGCTTTTGTTGTATTTGTTTAGTTCATAGACTCTAGTGAAAGTGGCTCTTACCTTCTTGAGCTTGTTCCTCAGAGTCAGAGGGTCTTTTTTGGAGCCTTGCGCAGCAAGGACTGTTGGAAGATTACCCTCATTGACAGTGGGGTCAAAGGTCATGTCCTTCGCTTTGTCAGAAGGATCCTTCAATGAGTCAGCTGAGGCTGCGGAGTTTGAATCAGATGTGACCACTGTCTTCTTGCTGTCTGACTTGTCTTTATCCAAAAAGGAAAATAAAGAAAGAGACACTTAGAGAGCAACTTTGCTCCAAAACCTAGTGAGCTGCCAAGCAGACAAGGTGAGAGAAATGTTGATGTAGACTTAACTCACTACTAATAAATTGTATAATTAAAAAAATAGTTTGATGTAATAAATAAAAATGGATTTCCCCTAATATTTGTGTGCTATACATTTTTTGGAGTAATGCACAGCTATCTTTAGCAGCATGCTAACAACAATCTCTGTTGGGATAAATTGTGACTAAAGTCTCATGCACTGCTACTGGTAATGGCGTACAAATTACACACCGAAGGTAGGGTTATAAATCAGTTATTAATTTGCATTTTAGTTAGGATGCTCTTTATGTACTGTAGGTTGCAGATAGCAATGCAGCTCACCAGAGTTATTATACTGTAGTATATATTCATATTTTTAATTAGCTTTTATTTTTATATTTTTATTTTAATGTTTTAGTAATTTTAAGTTTTTGTATGTTTCTTTAAGTTTCTTTTAAATATTTCTATTTATCTTTAATTTACATTTTTCATTTTTAGTAATTTTAGCCCTTCCATTTTTCATTTCAGTTAAGCTGCTCAAGCAATATTTCTAATTTTCATTTAAGCTGTCATCTTATATTTACATTTGCTGATGCTAATGCTGAGGGTTGGTCATAATATCCAAATGTTAGTAACCAATAGCAATTTCTGTGAGATTTCATAATTGTCACTATCGATTTCAAAACCATAGCAAAAGCCAAATTGCTACTGAACACACTCATTTAAAAAGCAAAATACGAATATAAATATTAACAAATTAAATTAGAACAATGGCATGCAGCCTTCAAGTTTTTTTTGTCAATTATGAACACATTGCTTTAAGTTTTCTTATGTAAATATTCAAGTAATCAGTCAGAAATTAAAACAAATAAATGAACAACAGTTCCTGGTTTTCTCTTTTTTCCTGTCAATATTGTTCATAGATTAATTTTAACGTAAAAAAAAATAAAATAAAAAAAAGACATTGGCAAATCTGCGTTTCCATTAATCAACTTCATTTTGACAAAGAAGTGCATTCAATTGCAGTCGTCAGAAGCAGTACATTTGACATCTCTTTTTCAAAGGTCAACTGGGAACGTCCTCAAGTGTATTTCCTCCTACCTGGTGAGTGCACCCCAGTTGATATCACCTCCGCTGCCTCTGGCATGGTCTCCTCTTCCTCTGCTACTGGCAACAAGGGACTCCTAAACAAATAATTAACATGTACAGCAACTCTTGAAGATACACACATTAGAGCACTAACACACTCAGTCCAGCAGCCCCTGCATAATAAATACATTCAAATAATCAGTTGCACAAAGAGGAAAAATACTCACTTGTCCGATTTTGCAGACACTTTAGAAAGATGTTCCTCACTCAGTCTCTATAGGAGACAACAGAATGGCATTGTGACCCAGTGACACACTCTGAACAGCAACACACATACTTGTGTAAACTACCTACATATGCAAATAAACATCACACGCGCATGCATTTCCATACCTGTCCCATGACATGGCAGATGAAATATAAGAGCTACGCTCTCCTTTACAGAGAGAGAAGTGCTAGATACTTACATAATGTGTGTGAGAGCTCTACAGCTGGCAGAGAGAGAGAAGATGGTAAAGACAGGAAGAGAGAGAGAGGGAGTGACAGAAAGAGAGGGGGAGGGCTGGAGGGGGAGAGTACTTGTACTGGCAGAGTTCATTGAAGTGGGAGTGAAAAAGTGCTATACTTATTCCAAACATACTGATGAAAAACCATACACACAGCCTGAGCAACATATTTTATCACCAAGTTAAAAAAACACAAGGAAAATAACAATTAAATAACCAACAAAAAACACCAAAAACAGTTGCAGGTCTGTTCCGATTGAGTCACAATCACCAGGGAAGAAACAAATGCATGATTAGTTGGTTAGTTGCACTTAGCAAAGTTAGGATAGCAAAATAAATAGGCTTATGAAAAGCTTCCCATATTTTCTGTTGACATCAAAGGCTAAGAGCCCAATCTGTCATTTGGTAGAAGCTAGCCAAATTAGGCAGATGGCAGTGTAAACTAGCTTTTTTGCATTTAGGCTGGACCCAAATATGAAGCATTTCTTTAAAACCAATAGGCCTACATGCTATAGGACAGTTGATTTATCCCTTACCTATTACCCTTACTCTAGTAATATGCTACATACTGTTTTAACACTGCCCACTCCCTATGAATTGAAGTGCAGAAAAGCCCTCAGATCAGAAGTGCAGTTTATTTTGGTTGCACTCCAAGTTCACCTGAATATCTCCCATCTTTTTATAAGTTAATAACGTTCACGAGAGAGCGTCAACAATAGGGCAATTATCACAGTGCATTTGTCAGAATAACCCTTGGTTTCACAAATTAATAAAACAGTTAATATCTGATTCTGGACAAACAAACGGGCAAATTCCACTTACAAAGCCAGTCTGTCAGATGTCAGGTGCTTATATAACGTTACAAAGCAGCACAAAGCAATTCTAAACAACACCGAAAGCCCAGGCACATCACATCGATAAGAAGGTAGGCACGTCCTCTCACGAGCAGTCATTCCTGCTTACCGCCATCCAGAACGCTCTAAAACGCCCAACTGCAGGCTCCTCTTTACGGCATAACAGAAAAGACAGCTACTCTCTCACTACACAGGACCACCAAACATGAAGTTTTTTGCAAAAGAACATAAGAGAGAAGGGCAGAACTAGAAAGAAACAGAAACACAAAAGGGGAAGAGGAAGAAATGGCAAGCGGCGCTACAAACGCAACAAGCTTCCCCTTGGTTTCCTCAGCTTCCTCAAACTGACCTGCGAGTCACTCATGTCGGCTGTGGTGGCCATACGATCTCCCTCAGATCCTCCGTTTGTGGCAGTGGGCTGCTGGGTCCTGACCAGGGAGGAAAGGGAAAGTTTGTCACTAAATTGTTGGTTTGTTTTTCTGATGTTTCAGGATGCAGCTGCTCTCAGGAAGTGCAATGATGGTTCGTGTGCTCCAGCAGAGCATGGATGGGGCGTCTGTCCGAGCCTGGCCACACAGGTGCATGGTAAGCATGCAAAGTGAGGCTCTGTCAGTAGTAATAACTCCTTAATATGTCTCCACAAAACAGCCCAACACAGGAAGAGATGACACATTTGACTAGCAAATGTGATCTTTGGGTGTGTGGTAGGAATTTCGAATGAAAGCAGACCATAATTTATTTTCGGTGAATCATTAACTAGCACTTTATATCAGTGAGCCAGAGAAAATCCACAAGCAAATGCTGATATATGGAAATTGTACCTTCCTGTAATGGAATCACCAACTTCAGGCTGGCCCGTGGAGGGAGATACCATCTCTGAGTTCACAAGGGAGGAAGGTTCAGTAGATGAAATAAGGTGTTTGACTGAGGTCACCTGTTCACCGGGCATCTCGGAGCTCAAAGATGCATCTGTAGAGTGAGTGGGGAGGTGTGTTCAGACACAAAGAGAGATTAAATAAATTCACATTGAAATAAAAACGTAACCGAACATTTAATTTTTAATTTTGTGTTATGAAAATCATCTTATATTAAACTGAGAAATGAAACGTATTTTAGTCTAGTACTGTATGTTACTAAAACATTAAGCAGAGAAGGACAGTGAGAAGAAGAGCTTTTACCAGCACACTGACTGTGGGTGTGAGGCAGAGGAGCAGCCTGCTCGTGGGCGTCCTCAGGCCCAGTGCATTCTGGGAGTCTGTCTTCCTCCTGCAGTGGCCAGGAAAAGATTCAGAAGGGCAGCATAAAATAAATCTCTACTCTGCCAGAGAAAACGTCTCCCCAAAGACGACATATTGGCTACTTTTGAATGATGATTGGGCGCAAATCCACACTTCAGACATTTGCAATGCAAATGGTGGCAAGTTCATTTAGGTGTGATGTGCAGTGCAATATCCTCTCAATGCGTGTTTGTGTGTGTACACTGGTTCTAAGGGTCATCCAAATTCCCGCTAGCAAGTAGCATTCTCTAGTAAAACTATCAACCTGGCAGCAGTGAGTCACATGCAGCCTGCTCGTGGGCGTCCTCAGGCCCAGTGCATTCTGGGAGTCTGTCTTCCTCCTGCAGTGGCCAGGAAAAGATTCAGAAGGGCAGCATAAAATAAATCTCTACTCTGCCAGAGAAAACGTCCCCCCAAAGACGACATATTGGCTACTTTTGAATGATGATTGGGCGCAAATCCACACTTCAGACATTTGCAATGCAAATGGTGGCAAGTTCATTTAGGTGTGATGTGCAGTGCAATATCCTCTCAATGCGTGTTTGTGTGTGTACACTGGTTCTAAGGGTCATCCAAATTCCCGCTAGCAAGTAGCATTCTCTAGTAAAACTATCAACCTGGCAGCAGTGAGTCACATGGATCCACCGACCAAGCCAAACGTTAAATTTCCATGACAACAAAAAGAACAATGTGGCTTGGAATGCCTAACACATGACACTATGCCACTCTGAAAGCTTGTATTTAAAAACTCTTTGAACTTCACTATATCAATGTGCATAAAACAGTTGCTTTGTGTCACTGCATCATGAGATAGACCACAAGAATGATAACATTTACACAATTATTAATTGATTTGGTAGCTGATAGTTAGAGGTATCTGATAGAGGTATTATAGGAAATTAAGATAAGAGAAACTGAAATATACCTTTAGAGCTGTGCAAGGCCTCTGCATTCCTCCCTTACCCACAAACAGACTTCCTGAAATAGAGAGAAAAAAAGTCATGAAATGGAATTCATAATCCATTTTACTTACATAATGTGACATATTTCCTAGCAAAGCAGTATATTCAACGAGCACAAGAAGGGGATTCACCTATAAGGTGTAACTAATATTAAAATTCTATACCATTTTGTGAAAATTTTTAAATATATTAAAATCAACTGCTTTGAATGTGAAATGTTAAAATGTACAGTACAAACAACTGCTATTTACTTTTAAAATAAACTAAATATCAGCCAATAACCAATATGGTATCAATATACTGTACATCCCATAAACAATGTGTTAATTGGAAAACAAAGCCTAAATAGCTTAGCCTAGGTATTGTTAACCAAACATTTCAGAAGCCGAAAAAATAACTACATTTTCATGAAAGATTACAAACATTTACATTTTTGTTTGGAATAAGGTGCCGTTCACAGAAATCCATTCGTCCTTAAAGGGTTAGTTCACCCAAAAATTAAAATTAGGCTGTGTTTTACTCGCCCCGAGCTATCCTAGGTGTATATGACTTTCTTCCTTCAGACGAATCCAGTCGGAGTTATATTAAAAATTGTCCTGGCTATTCCAAGCTCTATCATTGCAGTCAGCGGGTGTTGCAGTGCTTCAGTCCAAAAGAAGTGAAATAAAAAGCGCCCATCCATAAAAATAAAAAAAAAGTGTCTCACACGGCTCCGGGGGGTGAACAAAGGCCTCCTGTAGTGAAACGTAAGGCAAATATCCATATTCAAAATGTAATAATCACTTTAATCTAGCTTGTGCCAACAGTTGTACACGGAAGCAGTTCCGGGCTGATGACGTATGAGGTCAGCGTTGCGCATGCGCCACTCAGAAGTGACACACACGGGGTTTTATGGATGGGCGTTTTATTTCACTTCTTTTGGACTGAAGCACTGCAACACCTGCTGACTGCAATGATAGAGCTTGGAATAGCCAGGACAATTTTTAATCTAACTCCGACTGAAGTTTCGTACTTTTCATACGCATTTTTTTTTTAATGCCTCAATGTCATGTCCAGTTGTTATGATCACACAATGGAGCTTAAGTGACAAGCCTCTGGTGTTATTGGCAGTCATGCGGTCAAGGATGGGGACAGAGAATAAAGGTTAACCTTACATACTGACCAAAGATGGCAGAACAATGGTGGAAGGAAAGCCAAAAATGGTTTGAAGCTAGAATGACCCTGTTTTTCCAGCTTGTGTTTAAGCTTCAGGGATGGCTGCCTGATCTGTGCCACTAAAGGTTAAGGAAGGATTATTTAGCCTGAGGAATCTGACACAGACCGGTTGTCCTCTGGGTGTGACCATTTACACCAGACAACTTCATCTCAAATAACACACCCCCATTAGACCTGAAACAAGATTTATTCATATCCAAAAATGTTCTTCTCCATCTTGCAATTTCAGACACTAACTTTGAAACTTCTTCAGAATCTTGTTTGCAATCTAAACTGAATTCCACTACAGAAAAGATAAGCCTTACTAATCAATTAATTTCGGACCTTGTGATTCTCCATCAGTGGTGTGGTCTGGTAGAGGCGTCTGAGAGAGTGTGGAGTCTCTCTGTAGCTCCTTGTTCTCTAATCCAGAATTCTGTGTTGCTTCACCTTCTCCCTCAGTCCTTTCCGTGATCTTCTCCTTGTCCCTCACAGTCTCTTTGTGTTCCACCTCCTCCTCTTCCTCCTGTGTCAGGGCCTGTAGTTCCTCTTCTTCACAACAGAGCTCCTGAAGCATCTCCTGGTCAGGCCCGAGCTTTTGTAAAGGTGGAGACTCAGACAACACATATTCCTCATCCCATTCAAGAGAGGGGCCATCCAGCTCTTCCACAACCTGAAGGTGCAGAATCACACCAGTCACATGTCAACAGTCGGTGACAGCAGCTCTACATAAACACTATATTAAAGCTATATGGCCTTCCCCAACTGACTCCTACTGTAGTTCTTCAAAAGTTTACAGCAGCTCTACATAAACACTATATTAAAGGTATATGGCCTTCCCCAACTGTCTCCTACTGTAGTTCTTCAAAAGTTTACAGCAGCTCTACATAAACACTATATTAAAAGTTTATGGGCTTCCCCTGCTAACTACTAGTTTTTCAAAAGGTTTCTTCTTCATTTACTTGGACATTTTTGGCAAGCTTTTGGAGATTTTGGAACAATATGCTTAGTAATATATACAAATAAATTGAATAGGAAAATAATAAAAGTGAATCAAACTAAGACATGAGCCAAGTTTTGAACATAAGAACATTGTGGGGTAATCGGTCAATGGCGTCTAATCTCTAGAGATGAGTTCAAGATGAAGTCAAGTTCCAAACTGGCTCACAAACCACACTTGCCTCCTACACACACAGCTCTCAGCATCTTGTAATGAGACTGTAAAAGTATCCATCTGTGATCTGCAGAAGCTCACAAAAATCTTTATTTCTGTTTTGCCCAGGGCTGAATCTAAATCTGTCATGAGTTTTAAAGCCCACATATGCTGAAGCATGTGCAGGCAGTGAAAGCAAGTGTTTAGTGAGGTTCAATACCTGCTGTAGGTGATCCGGTGTTTGGCTGCTGGCCTCTCTGTTGTCCAGCGGAGCCTTTAGTCGGTCAAGTTCCTCTCGCAACTGCTGCTTTTGATTCTCCTGCTCTTGTACCCTAAAAATTTAAACGGAAACCACGGAATTCACAATTCTAAACGACGGTTTCTCTCTGCCTAAACCTTTTGAGCAAATTCGCTATAACACAACTTGTGCAAAAGGTGAATGTGAATTGATTCACTGATGAATTGTGATTTTTTTCCCCTCCCCCAAATGACTCAGAATAGATAAATCTACAAAAACACAATCATTCTGGTTACTGAAAAGCATTACACATGAGACAACGCCCCTGCACTGTTGATAAAAATGTGAAATACATCAAGAATTGGATCATGACGTCAATCAAAACCTATTAGTGGGGTACCTGAAGAGTTACAGAAAACACATTCTAACAAACACAATTCCCATACATCCTCAGCAGATCTCTGAACTGTTCACAAGTGCTGCAAACGCAAAAGTTGGACATACTATACCCAATCCGCAGGCCCAAGCAATGTCCCATTGCGCCTTCACCCAAATCTTAGAGCACCACTGGACGGTGAAACCCCTTAACTTCCCTGGCTTCTCTCAACAGCCTTTGCCTTTTATCTACAGTACACCGAGTACTGTAGCCTTGAAAACAGTGTTATGTCAGATTAGAGACACCTCTTCAGTGAACCAAAAACAGCTTGAGGGGGTCAACCGAAACAGCCCCTTGACAAATACTTCTAGAGACATTCACCCAGACATGGACTAAATTGGTAAGGCCTCTCCTCATAATCCTTCCACTGTTTTGAAAGGGGTGATGTTTTAATTAAAACTAATATACTCTGGTTTAAAAAAAAAAAAAAAAAAAAAAAAAAAAAAAAAAAAAAAAAAGGGCAATTGGGTGTTTTTAACATATAGAATCTTTAATCTTGAATCTAGGGTTTGGAAAGTCTAGTTTAATGAAAATAAAATCCATATTAATAATCTTTTTACAACTGTAGATCAATTTACAGGCGTTCATTTAGCATTAGTGATGTTAAACGAGTCATAAATGTTCTGCTTACATGGTGCCGGCACACTTTTTGGGAGAAAATCAGATAATAAGGGAGTGATTGATGCCGTGATCGTCCAGAGAAAGATGCAGGACTGGATCAGAGATTAGAGGATCTATCAAAAAAATGTATCAACATACAGTAAATGATCTATTAGTCACGTAAAAAACATCTCAAACACACAAAACAATGCATGCATAAACCATTTTATCTGTAGTCACACCTTTAAATGGTTATTTTAATAAAAAAAATCTTACATATTGTGCCTTTAAGTTACTATGTCTAAATTTAACTTATAAATACCACAAGTATCTGGATACATGAATATGACAGAAATAATCATGAAAAGGTTTCTAGCAACACATAAAAATTGGAAATATTTCATTATAATAAAGTAGCTGTTTTGCCAGTGACTTTCTCAGGGAGGCATGCTGCTATTCACATCACAGAATTAGTCTCATGGCATTTACTACAGCTAAGGTGATAAAAGTATTTTTAAGCTTTTTGATTGCATTTTGGTGAAATTTCGTTGGCGAAAACAGGCCATTATCTATTGTCAAGTAGTGTAGCAATGTATGAAGCACCTAGCACATTGGTCTCAAATTCAGTTCCTGGAGGGCCACAGCTCTGCACAGTTTAGCTCCAACCCTAATCAAACACAAATTATCCAGCTAATCAAGGTCTTCAGGATTACTAGAAACTTCCAAGCAGGTGTGATTTGGAGCTGGTTGGAGCTAAATTTTGCAGAGCTGTGGCCCTCCAGGAACTGAGTTTGAGACCACTGACCTAGCAGCTTTCTGTTAGTCAATTCCACAAATTTGCAAGACCACACAGAAATCTCACGTGAAATTCCTGAATACGTATATATTCCTAATGAAGTGGATTTCACCCCTGAAAATTCATAACACAATGGTAAATGTGACTGGAAAATGAGAAAAAAAAGTTTTTTTTCAATAAACTGCCATCAAAAATCATACAATAACATCTCTGCTACCATATCAGTCCACTTACTTGACAGACAGGTGCAGGATCTCGGTACGAGAACGTCGCATGTTGCTAGCCATCTTTAGAAGCTCCCTCTCCAGAGAGTCTGTGTACTGGTCCAACTGCTCTAGACTGCGGGTCCAGTCACTCCTTCTCTGCTCGAGCTGCACCTCCAGGCCCTGCCAGAGTTCACAAGATCAACAATGAGGCTCACTGACTAAATACAACACACAGTGCACCAGTAAATCATTACTACCAACTAAATCTTAGTGAATGCGATAAGATCAAAAAGTTTCATCAAAGACTACCTTAAGGAAAGTCACAGAGTTAGTCTGACCCGACACACTGCCCCTGTGCATCGTGGGAATTGGAGTGAGAGAAATATTGGCCTGTATAGTTTACCACCGGGGAAGACCGCACATACTGATGCGGTCCACTGAATACACACAATAAGAGTGACCATGTCCAGCCAAGCAGTTATGCAATGTGGTAGGTAAAAGTTCACATAAGGGGAGAGGAGTTCTTATATCATTTTTAAATGCCCGTGTGTGTCTCTATATAATTTTATCATGATTAGTTATTTACATATGTGCAAAAATTTGCATAACTGTTGATAGATACTTTACGATTTGACTTAGTTGAAGAAACTCTCTTACCTGTATCTTGAAGTTGGTATTGATCTCTTGAGTTTCACTGTTCTCTGTAAGGCCTCTGAATGCTGTGAGACAGGTGATGCCATCTTCCTTAAACTCCCTTTTCTGGAAAGATTCATGTTTTACACACTTGTGAACACTCCAAAACATCATGGACCAGCATCATACAAAACCAGCCTTCAGGTGTCTAAAGATGGAAAGCTGGCAAAATTAACATCAGACTAACTGTACAGATGAAGTTTGCTTAAAAAAATTTGAGTGTGATGGCTGGTTAGTTGGTTACCAGTCTGCTGATCAGAGTTTTAAATTCCAGAGAAAGCTGCTCTGGAGTCGGGCCTTGGAGAAGCAGAAGAACCTCACGATCTAGAGTCTCATCCAAAGAAGATGCAAAACAAACAGAGGAGGACAGATGCTCCAAACCCTAAAAATACACAGACATGCATGATGTTAAATATTTTATATTATTATAACATTCAAAATATTTAAAATATAAATATATCATTTTTATAGTTTATTTATTTATTTATATTTTAATGCCATAGATAGATAGACAACCATTTGTTACAACCAAAGTCTGCAGAAGATCATCTTTGAAAATACAAAACATCGAACCTTGAAGCAGATGGGCTATAGCGGCAAAAGACTGCACTGGGTGCCACTCCAGTCAGCAAAGAACAGGAAACTTAGGCTACAATTTGCACAAGCTCACCAAAATTGGACACTAGATTGGATGAGTCTCAATTTCTGCTGCGACATTCAGATGGTAGGGTCAGAAATTGGCATAAACAATATGAAAGCATGGATCCATCCTGCTATGAGGATGCTGCACACTGGTGGTGGTTGAGGAGATTCCCCCATTCCGTGTAAAGCGCTTTGAGTACCCAGAAAAGAGCTATATAAAATGTGACACATTATTATTATTATTATTATTATTATGCATCAACTGTTCAGGTTGCTGGTGGCGTAATGGTGTGGGAGATATATTCTTGGCACAATTTGTGCCCTTTAGTACCAATTGGGCATTGTTTAAATGCCACAGCCTGCCTGAGTATTGCTGCTAACCATGTCCATCCCTTTATGACCACAGTGTACCTATTTTGTGATGGCTAATTCCAGCAGAATAACATGCCATGTCACAAAGCTCAAATCATCTCAAACCAGTTTCTTGACCATGACAATGAGTTCACTATACTCAAATGGTGTCCAAAATCACCAGATCTCAATCCAATAGGGCACCTTTGGTATGGGGTGGAAAAGGAGATTCACATGGATGTGCAGCCAACAAATCTGCAGCAACTGTGTGATTCCATGAAGAATTAAGGCAGTTTTGAAGGTAAAAGCGGGTCCAACCCTAGTATACCTAGTATGTAGTTATCACCAGCTACGACAATGGAATCTACCACAGCAAAAAAATAAATAAATAAAAAATTGTGAAATAAAGCGCATGTAGTCAGGCTCATTGTAATGCCTAAAGTTTGGTGTAAAGCACCGAGAGGGTGTGGATTACTGAGTGCACTCTATGGCAGTGGAGTGGGAGAGAGAGTGGGCGGACAGAGAACAGCACATGAGTGTTGGTGGGAGTGGAGAGAAGAGACACTCCAAATCATGGACGGGACAAAGATAGACAAGTGAATTGCAAACACACACAAAACACACTGCAAACCTCCACGGGATTCTGTGCCAGAGCCAACTCCGTCTGAAGAGAACCTGAACTCATTTGATTTAGTCTGTAGGCCACAGAGAGAGAGAGACCTGGGCTGCAAACACATACATACACAGTTAGAAGAACATGTGAAGTAATTTCTGATGTTTGTGCAAGTATTATGCTTGCCATTAATAAGGTCAGTTAATCAGCTAATATTTTCATTGCTGTGTTAAGTGCATTACATAGAGCTCTTACATTGTCATATCAGGCTGCATCATCTGCATTTGACTCTCCAGTTTGTTCTTGTCTGCTCTCAACAGCTGAAGCAAGCAAAATTAACACATACACAATAATTAAACACTCTGGGGAGATTTAACTTATTCCACAGTTATCACATGTACACTTATCTACAATAATTTTTCAGGCTTTAGTTTCTAAAACATTTGAGTGTAGAACTTTCTTACACCACTGATTCAGCATTCTGAGTGAGAGAGTCAAAGAGAGAAAGTTGTCTGCTGTGGCTCTCAGCCAAATACATGATTTGCCACATTATTATACACTTCTATGGTATTTTTTCATAGACAGTCGCCACATTCAAGAGTTTCCAAAGAAACTGTATATACACTATTATTCAAACGTGGGCGGGGTTGTAAGAATTGTTTTATGTTTTTGAAAAACAGTAAAATCATGAAATATTATTATTATATAAATATTTTTAAACTATTTTAATATATTTTACTCCAGTCTTCAGTGTCACACGATCCTTCAGAAATCATTCTAATATGCTGATTTGGTGCATAAGAAACTTTTCTTTTTATTATTATTAATGATGAAAATACCTGTGCTGCTTAATATCTTTGCGGAAACAAATTTTTCCAGGATTCTTTGATACTGGCTAAGGGTAAGTGTGAGCAGCTTTTCGGGAAGTGCTGTGTTGCCACTGAAAGTTTTCGTACGATACATCCATTTTTAAGCCTTGCAAACTTCAACATTTGGTTTTCTGTGACGGATTTTAAATTGCTGTTGCAAATTTTGCTTATTTGGCACACAAATACTGTCGCCTAGTTTGCAAGCAGATTGCAAAAATAGCTTGTGGTAGTCTTGGAAGCATCAGCTAAAAACAAATCAGAAATGTTTAATGAAATATTTCTAGAAAATATAAAAAAATATATTGGTATAAAAATAAAAAGTGATTGTCCTTGTGTGAAATTATAGATACTTCTCTGCCAAAGGATAAATCTTTACTGTTGAGTTCTTTGTAGTAGGCTGTATGGCTCTTTGAAGATCTGTTTATGTGAAACTTTAACAATTTGGACAGACATGGGCATGGCAATATGATATCTAAATAAAATGTGGTCACTCTTGAACAACTTAACAGCCAAAGCAGCATTAAAAACAGCGCTGTGGTAAAAATGACAGATTACTGATATTAGACACGAAGAGAGAAAAAGAGAATTGGAGTTCACCTCTGTAACCAATGGCGATTCAATTGCCAAGGTGTTCGTAGAGGGCTGATACCGCATGTTATCTGTCATGTTATGTTACCGGAGTCTCATAATATGGCTTATTAACATCAGAACAGCCATCAGTGTGGTTTGTGCCTCACCATCTGCTTTCTTTGAGCCGAAGCCTGAGCTCGACTCTCTTCTGAAGAGGTCAGGCTCAGCTTCATCTCCTCAACTTCCTCTTTAAGCAGCTTCTCCTTCTGTAATAACTGCTGCCCTCTGCAGGATGAGATTAGGAAGTGACGAGAGGAGAGTGTTAAGGCATGTTTTGTACATGATGATTATTTGAGGGTTTAGAGGTTGAGGAAGAAGACATGTGAGACAGAACGTAATATAAGTCTGTACATTTTAGCTTGTGCTTTGATCTCTTCATTTTCCTCAATGAGTTTCTGGTTGGTGTCTTCCATGCTTTCCACTGCCTGCTTCAGTTTACGAACCTCCTCCTGCAGCTTTTGGTTATTTAGTTGTAGATCTGCCACACAGAAGACTAGATCTGATGTCTCCCTGTACAGATATACACACACAGTATATAATTTTGCAGTAACATATTGATTGCATCTTTTTTTTGTTTAAATGTTTTTATTTTTAGTTGTGTAAAAATGGCAGAAATGATTTTTCAAAAGCATCCAAGAATAAACCTTTAGATCAAAAGGTTTTTAAGATCATAAGAAACAAATTGAGTCAACCGTTTCCAAAGTTTTGATTGATAGAAATAGTTGATACAGTCTCACAAACCACACTCCCACTACTGTTAACTGTTTATCTATCACAAACAAACAACTCACACTCCTAAACTTACAGGTCAGCTCTGGAGGCTTCCCCTCCGAATGCTTCAAGACTACCTGAAGTCATATTTAATAGAGCAGATCTTCTTGCTAAAGGAAACAAGAGGTGATTATATACAAAATTATAACATTGACAACAAAGAAAATATGAAAAACATTGAGCTTTTAAGCATTCTGGCATACTCTTAAGAAGATCTCACCTGATAAACTGTCCCGTAGTTTGAATGATTCCTGTTGGGTGTCATTCTTTGAGTCCTTCCTAAGGGAAAAAGAGGGAAATTTGAGTTGGGCTTTTATCTTAAAAACTTGTCATGAGGAAAATGTTGGAAAAAAGGCCTTGTGATCAAAACTGATTGTGGATTGATAGCAGACTGATGAAAATCTGCAATGTGTCTTTGGTTGGGTTGGCAACATCTACAAAAGACATACCGCACAGAGTTGATTGCAAAAACAACTGCTTCCTGTTAACTGACCAGAGCCTTTAGCAAAATTATCAAGAGTTAAACAACCATCAGATTTCTTCAGCTTTTTTTTGTCCTGTGCACTATTTCTCAAACTAAAAAGGCCTTTATTAAAGTGCATCAATGTCGATCGCTGTTCTAAAGCATAGGGTATATATATATATATATATATATATATATATATATATACACACACACATATATATATATATATATATATGTCTTCATACCCCTGGTTCCGGCAATCATCGATCCACTCTTTCATGATAGCATGGTATGTGTCCAGGTCTATGGAGATGTCCTTGTGCTCTGGGTCCAGCATATTACAGAGTTCCTCTAAGCCACTGTCCTCTGAACTGCGGCAAGTGGTGTGTCTCAAAAAGTCCACAATGTGCGATACATAAACTTTACCTGCAACAGAGGAATGTGTTACTATGGTTACAGTGGCTACAGTCATTGAGGACCTGGGTCTCGCCAGATGCCATCCCAACAATAAAGTCAAACAGAAAGTTTGCAAAGCAACACCTACTTGTTCTGAGTCACCATGACCGTGTGTCTGCGCATATCGAGGCAGTGTATATATAAGTCTGCTGCTATCATCTCTTTTAACATACTTAAAAAAACCTTTTGCATTCACCTAAATTGCTGTTGCCTTCATATAAGAACAATAGCTATAAATGAAAGCAGTTTTTGTCTCCTGTTAGCTTAGTGGTCTGGTCACCACAGAAAGCACATCAGGTCAGAGACATCATGAGGAGAGAGCAGGACTTCACTGAGGACAGATCAGACAGTGTTTGCCTCTAGGTTTGAATGCTAAGAAGCTTCCCTGCTGCTGGGTTGGAATGAGTCAATGTTCTCAGATGCTCTTAGAGGTTACTTCAGTTTAACCAAACAAAAATAATAATATTAGTTATTGTAATATTAGTTAGCTTCACAACCTGCTGAGGAATAACATCTGTCAATCTAAGGGGGAAAGGAGCAGTAAAAATCTACAAGATATCAAAATCTGATTGATTGTAACGCACATTCCTGGTCTTAAGATGCAGTCACATTAGTGAAATTCATGAGCTGAAACGATCCATTGTCAATAGTATAGCAATATATGAAACAGCTCACATTGAAGTCACTTTTGAACCAAGCTTTCAGACAAACTTGAAACTCTAGCAAAATCTGCAAAGTTAAATCCTTAGTCCTCATGCATTGTGTGGATACCTATTGAAATGACCAGACTTTGCCCACAAAAAAGTCACATTAGTGAAAATTCATTAGCTGAAAAGATCCATTTTCAATAGTATAGCAATATATGAAACAGCTCACATTGAAGTCACTTTTGAACCAAGCTTTCAGACAAACTTGAAACTCTAGCAAAATCTGCAAAGTTAAATCCTTAGTCCTCATGCATTGTGTGGATACCTATTGAAATGACCAGACTTTGCCCACAAAAAATTGCCAAACAAAGGTTAATGTGACTGCACCTTTATTGTCTACACTTTATCAGTACATGTTATTCTATAAAGAAAAAATGGCTTGTCGTTGTAAACCTTAAACGAAACTAAAATGTTGATGATTTTACATTCTACATGCATTTACATTTTACATGCAAAACCTGCATGGGAAAATCTTTCCTCCTCGAAATTCTCGATCAAATGACTATTTCACCTGTGAAATTTATCAAACAATAAATATAACCGCACTTTTATTTGTATCAACAGCACAAACGGTACAGAGTAAGTGTGCCGCACACAACCTGAAAGTGAAGTCAAAACATTTCGATCACCATCTGGTGGCTGGCCATCATAAACTCCTACCTCTCCATTAGGGCTGCACGATAAATCGCATGCGATATTTAACGCGCATTTTGTCAGTAAAGCCGGTTCTGGAATCAGCCGTAAATCTCCATCACGTGTGGGCTTTCACATGGAGAAGACATTTCGATCACCATCTGGTGGCTGGCCGTCATAAACTCCTACCTCTCCATTAGGGCTGCACGATAAATCGCATGAGATATTTAACGCGCATTTTGTCAGTAAAGCCGGTTCTGGAATCAGCCGTAAATCTCCATCACGTGTGGGCTTTCACATGGAGAAGCATTTACTACACAGAGCCGTTGTTCATTGACAAGGTGAGCAAAACCACGATCATATTTTGCGCATGTTTTGCGCACCTTGTCAATGAACAGAACGGCTTTACTGACAAGATGCGCGTTAAATATCACATGCGATTTATTGTGCAGCCCTACTCTCCATGTAAACAAATAAGATGTGAGCTAAACTAAATAATCAAATTACATTTCAAATAAAATGTTCCCAAAGATGGCTTCCATCATTTTAGGTACTTCTTATCATGCTAATGTATGTTAAAGTGTTTGTTGTTTTAATAAGTTTGCTTTTAGTTCATTATTTGATGCCATAAAAACAGAGCGATTGGGTCTGCGGGAGTTTGGGTGGGACTTTGATACTGCGCCTCCACCTCACAATCACTACTACACAGGCTCATGACATCATTTTCGCAAGATGACAGTGGCCATACTGGGATGTTTTGGCTTCACTTTTCTATAATGGAAGGAAGTGGAGACGCGTCGACCATCTTTTTTTACATTCTACGGTACATAGTGAGCAGAGTAAAATTTACAGAGTAAAAGTACGGTTCAGAGTAAAAGTTTTACTTTTAGGGTTAGTAGTTTGTTAAAATCCAGAATATAACTGAAGAGTATACAGAATAAAAGCAATGAGGGGGTGATGTATGTACCTCTGCACTGTGTGTCACAGGCCTGAAAAATAGTGTCCAACAGGTCTTCCTCGCAAATCAGACTGACCTCAGCCATGCTCTCCTTCTTGGGCTCGGAGGGAAACAGAGATCCTGTTCAAAACCCAAGAAAAACAAAAACATGTAGTCAATGGTTTTAGCAAAACATTTATAATGTTAAAAAGATAACTAAAAAGAGATGATTCATTACCCTCGCCCAGTGAAAGTCTCTTAACCACGAGGGCCGGGTAGACGAGTTCACTGTCCATGTTAGAAATATCTGAGGAGAAGTTCAAGTTATACGAGAACAAGCCAGGAGCTGGGATTTTCGAGGTCTTCACCTCTGTGTCGGGCCCCTCCAGCAGGGTTTGTGTGGTGTAGCGTGGGGTAAAGTTAAAGTAATTGTCCCCAGTCTGGGCTGCTGGGGTGGAGCAGTTACGCCGAAACGGCCGGCTGTACGTTGCTGTATTTCTCCTCTCCCCTAACGTGCTCAGCGTGCTGGTAATGGTATAGGTGGCATTGCCAGGTGTAATGGGAGCACGAGGGGTGTTGGCGGCAGACCCCGGTCCCGGGGAAGCTGTGGGGGTCAGCATGCTCGCTGAGGAATCGCGGTCAGAGTCTTCGTCAGTTCGGACGGTACGCTTCTTCAGGATGGCCTCCAGGTTGAGGCGCAGACCCGAATGAGGGCTGTCGTAGCTGCTGGACTGGAACTTAGGGATCTGAAAGGGCGAGTTAACCTCTTGATCTCGTCGCTGGATAGTCTGCAGCTTGCGGCAGATGCTGTCCACGGGGTTGTGCCGTCTCGGGGTCACTCCGACATCCATGTTGGAGCGAGCAAAAAGAGAAAGCCTCGAACTACAGAAGAGACACAAGTTAATTTGTTTAAATTCTAAGGGTCTCATTTGTAAAGTATGTGTACGCACAGATTTGATCTTAAAGAGTGTGCGTACGCTTAAATCCACTTCGATGCTCATATTTGTAAAAACTGTCTTTGAGTGGAAAAGTGCTTAGTGTCATGTCAGGTTCTGAGCAGACGTACGTACATTTTCTTGTCGGAGTACTGCAGGTTTTTAAAAATTTTCTAAATTAAAGGATTTGGACAATGACTGGTGATCTTTTATATGTTAATGACATTAATTAGGAGTCGTTTACAAGGCAGAGAGCTGAAACCATCCAGTTTCGCATACGTTCAAGATCATTTGCGATTCATAGATTTTCATCTGAAAGAGAGCCGTACATGCATTTTCTGTGCATTCGTTCATTCTATGAATCACACGCATTCTATGAACATCATATTTGAGAGATGATTGTAAGATCAAATTTAAGATGGTTTCTATGCAACTATACATGAGGCCCTTAGACAGAGTGAATAGTATTTAGCAGGTCATATGATCTCAAAACGTCCAACCCCCATAAGGTGACCCACTCCATGACTGAAGAAAATGTAAAAAACGAATTATATCACGTGTGTAATTATTATATAGTTTAGATACAGTAAATATGTTTTAAACAAACACATAGTGCTTGTAAATAAAAAGACAGAAAACATGTTACAATATAAAGGCCCATTAACGTTACATGTTTAAACGGTCACTGCATTATTTGCTTATATGGATGACGTAAAAAAGTAACGATAGAAGCGAAAACCTTACACCTTTATCTCAAAATATTCTTAAAGTCTCATTTCATATATACAACCAAAAACAGACAAGCAAAAAAGCAAACCAACCTGTCAAAATCCGACTGACGGCGAATCAAACATAAACTTCACACAAACTGACAGACTCACACAAAACGTTTTTGCCACTTTCAAGATGAAAATAACGGCCGCCTTTAGTTTCATGTGGTGTGCCAGTTATATTTAGAGAACATTTAAAGGGGACAACCAGATATCGAGACGCCAAGGTTGGGAAAAACAAACACACCTGAATCTGTTCAAATGTTGCCGCCGCGGTCGGTTCACAAATACTAGCGCGTGAAGCGCCAAACAGCTGATCGAAGGCCGTATTATAATTAAAACCTGCGGCGCACTGACACCATGCGTCCAATCATGGAACTGCAACTGACAGAGTGCGCATGATTCATTGATTCCTCCATCACACTTTCACTCAAATCAGTGCGCATATTATTTAAAAATGTCTCAAAATGCATTAAATAAACTAAAAATAACTTTTGTGGCCATGTGCATATATTGTAAATAAAAAATAAATAAAAAAAACATAAAGGTCTATTTAAACCTGTTTATTGCAATTCAGGCATTCTGCATTTTCCCTCTCTGCCAATGCTATGCATAAAAACAAAGAGATAGGATATTGCTGTGGTGGTGTTAGTTACCTTGGGAGAAAAGTGTTTAGTGTCTTGAGAGAAAAGAACATTTAAAAAGAGCCCACTATCAGGGGGCTTTAGCCCTGCACCGTATCATGTGCCTTATATTTTTAAATATATTTTAAACTGATTATTTAAATAAATTAACGTCCATGCCAAGTACAAATATGATATCCATCCAATAATTTCTAAAGTACCAGGTTTTTTTTTTTTCATTTACGCAATTGTGAATTAATTGTGAATTAAAAATATTGAGCTGGTCAAATGTCAAATGCCAACACCAGGTTAAAAAAGAACAGAAAATAAACAAAGGAATTGGATTTTTTTAAATACTTTGTTGATGGAAATAAAATATAAACTATATTAGTCAGAAGTGTAGTTAACAGGGATCTCCTCTCAATCAATGATGCTGTCTACGTTGCTTAGGCACTAATGCTGTTTTTTTTTTTTCAAACCATGTGCATAATTCAACCCGGTTCATCGTTTGAACTGGTATATCTCCCAGCACTACAGTGAATTCACACTAAAATAATGGAATTAGAGTTTAACACAGCAATATCACAATGGTCTCGCATGATGAACTCACAGTATGAGCTCACAGTCAGTGCGCTGTGAGTTTACACTTTTAGCTGACTGTGACATCACATAGTGACCATAGTATGAGGACACAGTGAGTGTGCTGTGAGGTTACACTTCTAGCTCACTGTGACCTCAAAGTGTAAACTGCTGTAAACACTGCAAGTGTAATGAAGGTCACTACATTGGAGGTGTGCCTTTAATTCAACCTAGCTGATTGGTCACTAAAAACCAGCTCACTCACATATCATTTCATGCTTCAAGCCACTTCAAGTTCATTTCATGACCGAACGTGATGATGTCTAATAAGTGGGTGAGTTCATCAGGGGTGTAAAGTACTTCTTTGCTATACTTAA